AAATGGTGTGGATATCTCTCCACAAACTAAAATAGAACTATCATATTACCCAGCATTCCCATTACTGAGTATATATCTGAAGGAAATGAAATCAGTGTATCAAAGAGATACCTGTATGCACTTCTTCACTGCACAAGTATCTGAAATAGCCAAGCCACGGAAACAAATGAGATGCTCACCAGTGGATGAGTGAATAAAATAGGTGTACAGTGAAATTTTACTCTGCTGTAAAAAAAACGAACTCTTATTGTTTGTGGCAATATGGGTTGAACAGAGGAACATTACGTTAATTGAAGCAAGCCAAGACACTGAAAGACAAATATTACATATTTTCACACATTTATGGAAGTTAAAATATTCTCACATAGAAGTACAGATGCGCTATAGCACAGTAAGGTAACTATAAACTATAACAATTTCTTATACACTTTAAGATAGGTGAGAAGAGTTAGAAAGATCCTAACACATGGAAATACTAGTGTATGTGAAGAGATAAATGCCATTTATGGCCACTTGATCATTGCACATGTTATAAACCTGTATCAAATTACAATACTTTACCCCACAAACACAAATGTTATATATATATCAATTAAAAATAAAAGTAAAGGAAAAAGGTAAAACTACTCTAGAATTGGCTGTAAGCTTCGCTTGCTCTTACCCATAACACTTTTAGACCTTATTAAAAAACAGGGGATGTGGACAGTACCACAGCAATTTCATTCCGTTACTCAAATTTCATTTTGACCTGAGTGGCATGACACGGGCATGTAGATGATGTGTATAAATTTAGGTTTGTTCAAACATTCCAATATTAATATGAATATTTAAGAGTAGTAAATTTATAATGCTCTACTTTAGAAAAAATATGAAGTGCTAAAATATAAACCAAGACCAAAAAAACCTTTTGAATTTATAGTGTTCAGTTGTAAAACATTTTCCTGTAACAACTTTATGTTAAATACTATCAGAACATATCAATCCATAGAAGAAACCAAAGACAGATCTGTACCAGGATATTGCTTTATATTGCAACAAAGTACTTTACAGAAAGTGATATAATTGTTACAGCATTGTTTGTTGAGGAGTCTGGTCTGAAAGGCATTACAAGTCTATTTCAGATGAACAAAACAATGCAGGAGAGAAGCACTGAACTTCTTGATATGAAGCACGAGGCTTCTTTTACCTCCCTGATGTTTTGGCAATGAATAGGCAACTTTTAGCGTTTTTATTTTTATATGAAATACATCTCAGAAATCTATTCAATGCTTAATTTTCAGAATACATATAATTAATGAAAAATCTGGATATTATTAGTGGAAAATCTAGATATTATTCATTAATTTCATTTTAATTATTTTATATATATGCATATAGTCTCATTGGAAAATATGCATCTAGGAATAGAGAAAGACTACAAGCAAAAGGAAAGTCAAATGTTTGTGACAGTCATCATCACAAATTGATTTCACAGCACCAAATCAAAATGTAAATTAAATTAATTCTGAAATATATGTAAGCCTCAGTAAACACAACAGAAAATTAATTCATTAAATGTGGATAAATCAAGTGGGTATGTTGGATTTCATATTTCTACTTAGCATTACAGCTGAAATTTTACTTCTTTGTGAAAAGTTCTGTAGAATACAAGAATTTTCTTTCTTTTCACAAAGTATTCAGACTACTTTTGTATGTCATCTATTAACTGAGATCCATGTTATGCGGAAAAGTATTGTGTTTAATCCTCATAAAAGAGGTAAAACTGTTAATTGTAATATTCCTACCATAAAAATGATTCATGGTACAAGAATCATTTTCAGACTGCAGTAAAAAAGGAGAATCTAAAAGGATAGCAACAAACAGTACAAACAAAACAATAGCAAATTTTTCAAGCTACTTTCATTTATTTTTATTAGTGTTTCTTTAAGAAATTTCCTCAATGTTAGCGTCTTTGACAGTCAAGTGTTTCACTTTGGATACTTTTCATGGCCTACTAAAGAAATTTACTAGCTCAGTAGTTGGGAAGAGTTGCATATCCAATTGTCTCACTCTATCCATGGATTGGTCAGGATTGCTAGGTGGTTTTGGTTTCCTTGAAGTGGAATATCCCATTTATAGGCTAATTAAAATGCAGAGGAATTGTCATTGTTCACTGATCCATGAGTTATGGCAAAATTATGGAGCTATGAGTTTTCTGAGGTAAGTCACGGCTAGTGATTGATGTCACATTCACATCCCATTTTATTCAAAGTTAAATTTTCAGTAAATATTTTATCAGAAATATATGAAAGTATTTTTTCTAGCCAGGTGTGGTGGTGCACACCTGTAATCCCAGCACTTGAGAGGCTGAGGCAGGAGGATCATTGTGAGTTTGAGACCACCTTGGGCTACAAAGTGAGCTCAAGGCCAGTGTGAACTGCAGAGTAAGACCCTGTCTCAAAAAGACAAAAAAAGAAACAAAGAAAGTTCTTTCTGTTCAATAATTGATTTAAATATATGTTAACTGTGATTGCTGGGTGAATAGTTTAGTCTACTGATATGACAAACAATAAAAAATGAAAACAAGAATCCTTCCCAGAATCTCTAAAAGAAAAAGTCCTGGGAAAATGGATGAACTTGTGGATGTTATTACAAAATTGAAAATGGCTGTGCATATATATATATATATATATGTGTGTGTGTATGTATACATACCTCTGCATAATTATACTTACCATATATATTAATAAGGGATATTGAAAAAACACCAAACACCTGCACACAGTTGTATACATTATAACAAATTATATGTGTTGCAAAGAAGAAAAAGTGGATTCAATCATTATTATTCTAAAGCAAAAGATAAATACAAGTATCAGAGTGAATAGAGAACTACTAGGCAAGATACTAGTGGGTGTGTTAAAAAGTGAATTAAAACATAAATGTCTTTAAATAGTGAGCCCCATACCTTACTCTGATGTTTAAAAAAACCAGTACTCCAATGATTCTCAAAAAACAGTTGAGTGAATTAAAAAAATCATTGTCCTAGCCAGTCCTGTGGTACATGCTTATAATCCTATCACTTGGAGAGACTGAGGCAGGAGGATTTCAAGTTCAAGGCCCACCTTGGTAATTTCACAAGACTCTGTCTGAGAAGAGGAATAAAGTAAAAAGGGCTGTGAATATAGCACAGTGACAGAGCACACCTAGAAGGAAGGAAGGAAAGGAGGAAGGGAGGGAGGAAGGGAGAGAGGGAGAGAGATCATTCTCCTTAATCAGAATGTGAGGAAATAAGACTGCCGGATTTCACAATTCAACCATATTTCATTTTTCAACCTTTATTAACTATTCCGAAAAAGATGTGTTTTTCTTTACTACCATAGCCTGTCATTGCATTTCAGGGTTTTTTTGTTTTTGGTACCAGGAATCGAACTCAGGACCTTGCACTTGCCAAGCAGGGGATTGTGGCGCTGAGCTATATCCCCAGCCCCTGTACTTCAGTTTTTAAGAATAGAAGATACTTGAAGACAGACTGTGTCTTGTTCATTTTCAAATCTTTTTCATCTAGTATAATTCATGGCATGTAGTAGATGTTGTAGGTGTTAATTCCACTAAGAGATGTTCTCTGCATAAATTTAATTTGTGTGTAAATACTGAAGTTTGCCATATCTGTTATTTCAATGATGCATTTTAATTCTTTTGCAATTGCAGCAAATCTACCATCTCAAGTAAGGAGGATTTTCTGGAGTCCCATTTTAGGGTGCTTTTTATTTTAAAGGCAGGAAAGTAAGGAATCCAAACATTTCTCTGTGTTAAGCCAACATGAGCATTTAAAAAAAATAATATGGCACCATGATTTTCACTAATCTAGAAAAGGCTATTTTGGAATTGCTGGGGCTTTCGATATTCAAAGTAGTAATTACTTCCTCCATAAATGTTACTTTTTAGAGTCAACTACTATTTTCTTGTTGCTGTTCAGCTCTTACTTAAAGGAAAAAGTCATATATTTACAATTTATCCTGTTATACTATTCCCTGTGGTAACTCTTGTTTTCATTTGTTTGGACAGCATTATAAAGTTTATAATGACATTATGATGACATTAGTTTACATTATTCAGTATTTGGCATTTAACAAATATTTCGTTAAGAAATTTGCAATTGTTATACCATTTAAATCCTCAGAAAATTCATAATGTTGGTGATTTTATATACCTGTTTCCATCTCCCATTCCATTCCATTCCGTTCCATTCCATTCCAATCCAATCCAATCCAATCCAATCCAATCCAATCCAATCCAATCCATTCCATTCCATTCCATTCCATTCCATTACATTCCATTCCATTCCATTCCATTCCATTCCATTCCATTCCATTCCATTCCATTCTATTCTATTCTATTCTATTCTATTCTATTCTATTCTATTCTATTCTTATTCTACTCTACTCTACTCTACTCTACTCTACTCTACTCTACTCTACTCTACTCTACTCTACTCTACTCTATTCTATTCCATTCCATTCTATTCCATTCTATTCTATTCATCTATTTATCTATCATCTATCTCTCTTCCTGTCTGTTCATCCATCCATCCATCCATCCATCCATCCATCCATCCATTTATCCGTCCATCTCGCATCATCACCTGTCACTGATGCTTAGAGAACCAATTCTTCAACTAGTAAGTGATATGGTGGTCAGGATAACAATACAGGAAAATCCATCTCCAGCATTTATTTTTGTTTTTTTTCAAAGCTCTGCACACTCAGTAACAAAATGTACTATATTTTTGCACAGTTCTAGATCCATGGCCTATTTCAGTGAAATATGTGTGTTTCCATTCATAAAACAATAAACCTTAAAATGTGTTTCCAGGATGGTCCTTAAGTAAATACCACCAGGTCTGAACAGCTTAGACCCCAAGATCATTTCTTTGATACCACGTGAGTGGGATATGAATCCTTACCTGATGCAGACCAACGCTTCTTCCTTAGGACCCACTGTTATCGTTTACAACTTACCATAGCCTTGGGTTTGGTTCCAGAACTGGTTGCTGAGGTGGAAGAGGGTAGATCAGTGGACTCAGTATTGGAAGACAAATTTGCTTGAATCTGATTTCCTGAAATAGTATCTGCTCCACTTTTGGTTCCTGGTTCCATATCCTGTTAAAAGCAGATGTACTGGTCAGTGTACCGTGCATGCCAGTTTCCCTGCTACCAGCGCTTTTCCATATCGTCTTTTTGTCAACACACACAGACACACTGAAGACTGGTGATGTTGACACGTCACTCGTACTCATGCATTGTTCTGTAAAACAACTGTATTCTTGTGAGGGCTGGCAAATTCCGAGACGTGGTAATGTTGTACTTTGTTAACTTGACAGTTTCGTGTGGGTTGAAAGGGATGGTGAAGCGGCCCGTCAGGAAACTGCAGTAAGGACTAGGAGCTGAAACTGACAGACACCCTCTCTTCACCACGGAACCTTGAGTGACTCACTTAACACCCTGCATGCTATAAAGCGCTCTCCAGATTCCACAGAGAGTCACAGCACGCACCACCCGAAAAGACAGACCTCATTTCTCCTCCCCCTACTCTCTTCTGTGTTCTCCTTAGACCTTGATGGTCACATCTATTCCGATGGCCTAGAATCAATTAGCTGAAGTATCTGTATAATGAACTATACACTGAGGATAGGAATCTCGTGTTGTCATGTATGATACAATTCTTTTGTTTGAAAATGGGTTTAATAATATGCACTCATAGAATTTTATGGGGATTAAGCATTCAGTTGTCATGTAATAGATTTCCATCAGAGTTAGCCATTACTTGCTCTATATACATATATTGCAGACAGTAATTAATATCATTATGTTTTCTTAGTAGCTATATATAGTATGAAGTCAAGACATATAAGGAATGGATAATTCAATCACTCTGTTACTTATACAAAAGCTGTGCAGTTAATATATTGAATGATCTTTTTAAGTAGCTGACTTGACTGCAGAGAGGAAGTGTGAATGTGGTAGAAATCAGAGGATAGGGACAAAAGGTCCATGGCAGTCTATACCTTTATTATGGTTGATATGTTGTGTCAACTTAAGAAATTTAGGAGGTTAACTAAGCGACTCAGCAGGGGGTCAGGGTCCTCACTTTGTAAACATTTTGAGCTTGTGCAAGAGGGGGGCAAAGAGACAGTGTGAGTGCTACACCCCCTCTGCATGGGGTAGCCTGCTTACAATATAAGGGACAAAAACAGATGTGCTCATCCCCATTTTTGCTCTTGCTGCTTTTGCCATCTTCTGCCACCTTGAACTATTGCCACTGTGCCATGCCACCCTGTTTTGGAGCCAGCTGAGTATGGATTGAAACCTCCACAAATTGTGAGCTAAATAAACCTTTCCTTCCTTAATTTTGAGTGTTGGGTATTTTGTCTCAGCAACAAGAAGAAAGTCACCAAGACAGCCTTTAACCTGAGAAAATGCTGAGTTCAGTGTCTCTTTGTCTACTCTTTTACATATCAACTTTACCATGCTACATTGTCAAATAATTGCCCTGAACCACAACTCTCTGACCCTGCACTTCACTACTTTCTGGTTTTTTTTGTATGCTCTGGTCACACTGGATGATTTTTTGTTCTGCTATAATATTAAGCTGCTTTCTACAGCATGAAACATGCCATTACCTTACATCACCTGTTTACATTTCAAGCAAACGTAGGTTTCTCCCTTGAGTCTATATTTACAGTGTACCATTCCCCATATGAAAATTATTTTACAACATTTCATTTATATCATCTCTTTGTCTGTCTGTCTATGGATCTATTAAGGTAATCACATGCTTATCCAAATATCAATCTCACTCTCTTTAATACTCTTATGTCTTCTCATCACAAGAGCAAGAATGGCCTGTCTTATATTTTCAGGGGGGTGTACTGGGAACTGAACTCAGGACTTCACCCTTGCCAGGCAGGTGCTGCACCTCTGAGCTAAATCTCCGGCCCCTCACCTACCTTACTCACTGACATATTCCCATGTTTGACAATTGTGCCTAGCACCCAGAATATCATTTGATATTATATGAAAAAATAATCAGGTTGATAAATGTTAATATCTTTTTTTCTGTCTTCTCAATATGAGTAGTTATGTTTTTGCTATGAAATTATAAATCAATAGCATTAAAATTCATTTTTCTGCAACTGAAAGAGTATAAAATACAAATATAATGATAATACAAAGAATAATACTGAATTCTTTAAGAATAGGTGTATGTTTATGGATGTTTCTGTGTGTGTGTGTGTGTGTGTGTACATGCAGAAACACAGTACATAGCTATATCCAAATTTCTGACATCCACAATGACTTCATATCAGGACCCTCTATTTTATTTTTTGAGTACACAAAATATTATTTAGGTAAAGGATGATTCATTCAAATTTCAAATGAAATTCATATTAGTGACAAATGGCAGGGAATTTATAAACATCAAATGCATAATCATGAGTAGCAGGAAATATATGTCATTTATATTTGACCTTTTATGTACATCAAATCTTTTACATTAATTTTACCTTCCTGTTTATGGTTTCACTAGGTAATTAACAAGATACTCTTGCATCTTTTTAACCATACAATGGTTCTGAAGTGAAATAATAAAGTTAAAATATTACCACATGGGTTTTTTTTAACTATTACAGAGAATGTTTTATGCCATCTACTTCAATGTCCACCACATGGTTTTTTTTTAACTATTACAGAGAATGTTTTATACCATCTACTTCAATGTCCACCACATGTTTTTTTTTAACTATTACAAAGAATGTTTTATACCATCTACTTCAATGTCCACCAATCCCATGTTCACTTGAGCAATGATGAAGCCAAGGCCTAGGGCAAAGCACTCAAGTGAAGTCACACTTGGTGACAGAACTGGTATTAAACCATGGGTCTTTCTGATCTCAAAGTTCAACCTCGTAAAGAAACCACAGTGTTATTCTACTGAGGATGTAAAACACAACTAATGTTATTTAAGTAGAGCCATGAATGTATAGTTTGGTACAATTCTTTTTCTGTTCACTGTGGGGTATCACCCAGAATTCTCCCACACACAGTCCTCCTTTACTTAGTCACTGCTAGCATACTCACACATAGTGGCCTTTCCCTGCCATCCACCTTTGCTTTGTGTAATGCATTTTCCTATGAGGGTTCCATCATTATTGTCACCCTATTCCTCCAACTGTATAAAGGTATAAAAATATACAGATCTCAGCAGAGTTCTCATTGTGGTAGGGAATCGGTGTGGTTTGTACTAAAGTAGAGGTGCATACACATTTCAGTTGTGGCACTAAAGGGTGGGGATCTTGTGATCTATGGGCTATCCAGATGTGGAGACTCCAAAAACAGAAAACCCCACCTCACTGTGACCCTCATTATGAACAAGGTAATGGCTGACATGGAAATTCTCAAGGAGACTATTCAAAGTCAGACAGTAGGGGGGAATTAAGCCTAGAATCTGGATACAGGATGTAAGAGGCAAAAGGCAGGAAAAGGAAGCATTAAGGTAGATAGAAAGTAACTTCTGAGGAGGTAGAGAAGAAAGAATAGGACAGGAGCTAGAAGGTATAGGAGTAGTGAAAGTCCATGACAGACAGTGTTTAACAGTGTCAAATGCTACTGCCAAAGACTGTGCTCTTATTGCTGGATTTGTGAGACAGGAGATGGACTGTGCAGAAATGATGGAGCAATGGCAGGAATTAAATCCAGGAAGAATTACTAGGTTCAGAATGCACAAAAACTTGGGTCTTCAGGAAGAAGTGAGACCAGGCAATACCTAGAAGAAGTTCAAGGGAAGTTTTTGTTTTTAGTTGACTGCAGTGGAAAGGAACAGTGACATCTCTCACCACCTTTTCCCCTGTACATTAGCATAGCAGTCTTCGAAAGGGATGATTGTACTTATTTAATAGGTTCATGGTGGATAAAGTGCAGGATGTACATATGCTTAACAGGAAAGCAAGAACTAATAGGAAGAGGATAATTGAATTTGAACTGATGAAAAGGGATGAATGATTCACAGTGGGGTAAGGAACATAGGAAGAGATGGGAACGAGGATACAAATTATATGATCAGTATTAGATAACAGGAACAATATATCTTTTATTGACTTAGAAATAAAGTAGGAAAGAGGCACCCACAGCCACAGGCAGGTGTAATATCAGGAAATCTGTCAGTGCCTCCCTTCTCTGGGTAAAGAGAAAGACAAGAATATTTGCAAAGAGATAAATGTCAGGATAGAGTAGAGCTTTGGAGTTTGTAGTACAATTTAGGACCTGGAAGGTTCAGGAATCTTGGATGATCTGGAGAAGCTGAATACTACTGCTAAACAGAGCCAGAGAATCACTAAAGTTAGTGACGTGATTTTAGCAGTCATGTTTCTTAAACTTCCCTACAGCACGTGTGAAATGTCTCAAGAGATTATTAATGTCTTCTTGACCGCATGGATTCAAAAACAGTAACTCCAGCTCTAAATAACCTAATGTACAGAAGAAAAGTCACTGACTGTCAGACAAGGGATTGTGGTTGAAGAAATGATACCTGACTGTGAATGAAAAATTTGTATCTTGGCAAGCTTTTAACATAGCAGAAGGAACGTGGACTTTTCTGACAGATGTGGGAGTAAATCTTACCAGCTGTCTAGACTTTGGTAAATTACTTACCAGGCCCCATCTGTGTGATCACGACCATAGGTAAATTACTCATCTTTTCTGAAGCTTGGGTTTCTCTTTTTAGGATTGTCAAGAGGCTAAATGAAGTAACATGTGTAATGCTCATTAAATAGTACTGTGTTGTCCCTTCCATGCCCCTGCCGGCCACTTATCACATGAGATTGGCTACCCTAAAACAGGTTTAGAGACTGATGTTTAGTGGGTGGTTGGATAAAGTCAAGTTTTTTGGACTGTGAGGTAGAGAAAAACAGATCCTGAGTTGCGGGGCATCTATGAAGTTATAGCCTAGCGGATGGCACTATCTAGACAGCCTCTTTTAGATCTTTATCTGTAACCCTATTTTCATATTTGTTTCCCAGTGAAATCATTCTTAAACATATTGTTCTTTACATTCTTTATATTATGTAGAATTCATTCTGGCATTCTTTTGTGAGCATTCTCAAGCTGAGGGTAGAAGAGAGCCACTGTGTCATCGCTCTCCCTGCTAAACTATAAATTTACAGTGGCTTACAAGGATAGGGTGAGACATTTTCTCTGAATCTGGGACAGTGTTCCTTGCTGGATGAACAAAGTCATAATCATGCCATTATAATCCTCTTATTCCATGGAGCAATTATCAAAAGGAATGGAAAGTGCCTGTGGAAAAACTTTTGATGATGAGAGAATGTTAAAATTAGCTTGAATACCAAGGAAGAGAAATGAAGACCAAGGAGTGACCTAGAAAAACATGAAGAACAAAAAGGAGTTTTGAGGCCTGAGGAATATATCTTATTCATCTTTGCCATGTGCCTGATGTGAATAGGTCTGCGGTGGGGGGAAGAATCAATAATTGCCAAATATATAATCTGTGCTAGATCTGCTCCATACACATAGTTCCTTCATTTACTCCCCCAAGAAATCATTATTAATGAAGAAACAATACCTCGCTTTTTTACATGAACTTACAAATTGAGAAGTTAAATAATTTTGTTATATTCCCAGAAAGTAGTTATAAAACCAGTTTGAACCGAATTGGCAGTCACCAAAGTTCATGTTTCCACTGTCTTATATTCCCACTATATACTGAGAGTTTATAAATAAATCTTCATTTATGGAGGCAATAATAATGCTAATATTCCATGAGATATGGCTTATAGTATGAGGTCCACTTTACAATTTAAATACAGGCAGAAAATGGAGATGTAGACAAATCTTCAAAGTATCACCTATGTTAGCTCCTTATCTTGTTTTGCTTTACCACTGAACAAAGACTCCTGTCTAGTGGGGAAGGGCTATCTTGTTTTTTGAGATGGAGACCATAACATGCAGTTGTATTTAGCAGAAATTTGAGTTATGTCATTCTTCTAAATATCTAAGGAGCAAAGAAAGTTGAATATGGAGAGAAAAGGCAAGATTTAAAAGACAGGAGAAACTAATATTTCCAAACTAAAAGAACTTTAAAGAGAAAATGTGTCTCATACTTATGTCAATGGAAAAGAAGTACTAAGGTACCTCCAGTTGAAAAATGTGGTTATTTCAGGCTTTAGAGGGATTGATCAGAGTGAGTATAAATCTTCTCTGCATTATTGTTACGTAAATAAGATTTAAATAACTCCTCCATTTTGGTTTTTTCGATCAGGATTTCATTAAAAAGCCCAGACTGGCTTCAAACTTGTGGAGATTCTCCTGCCTTAGTCTCTTGAGTGCAGTAATTACAGGCACGTGCGACCATGCCTGACTAAAAATAGCCCCCCACCTCCTGTTTTTGAGACAAGGTCTCACTATCCAGTCCAGGCTGGCTTTGAACTCACTAGGTATCCCAGGTCATGAACTCCCAGTGATCCTCCTGCATCAGCCTCCCAAGTGCTAGGACTACAGGTATGTGCCAGTACATTCAGTTTAAAACAGCCCATCTTGACGGCCTTAAGGAAATCATTTTGACTGCATTCCTTCCTTCTCAATGATGTACTTGCCTAAAACAAGTTATGTGCATGACACTACCAGACGGGGGAGAGATAGAGAGGAGGCTTCACTGAACTTAGAAAGCTAGAAAGAACTGAAAGATTGAAGGAAGAGTCACTAAGCACAGCGCGTAGATATGATCAAAGTAAGATGGATGTTCAAAATGAAATGAAACCTAGCATGCAACAATAAAAAAAAAAATGACTGGTTAGAACTGATTCCAGCTCTAACTTTTACCCTTAATTTCTCTATGTCTTTTACTCACCTGAAGGAAGGTAAAGAATGAATGTGTTAAGGCATGGAGAACACTTAGAATTATACCTGATGTATATGAAATAGGCCTTATTTTAATCTGTTCATTTACTTAGAATCAATGGTAGAACAATATTAAGCAAAAAATTGGATGCATAGTAGTTTGAGTTCAGTTGGTACTAAATTTATACATATGGTTTTCCACCTCTTTAATGTCAGATAAATAGAAATTTCTACTCTCAATGTATTTATTTTTGCATTGCACATCATACATGAATTGAAAAGGAATTATAGTCAAATTATGGGTAAATCCAACCACGTTATTTTCTATATCTGCATAAACCAAATCATTTAAATTGAAGTTCACATTAAATACGTAAAGTGTATAGTCAGCCATGAATTTATTCAAATTTTATTATGAGTGTCAGAATCTTAGAAGACTCATGCCTGGAATTAATGCTAAGTAGAATAAAATTATCACCTCTGTTCTCTTGATTATATTTTATTAACTACATTTTAGAGCATTGTCAGGGTAATCTCATGTAAATTTTCCTGTTGGGTTAGTTCAACCAACATCCACCCATCCATCCATCCATCTTCTCGCAATGTAAATTTGTGAGACCCTAGAAGTAACTTACTAAACAAGACAGACATAGTACATGCTAATGGAGTTTATAACCTATCGCAGAGTACTGCCGATAGGGTAAACAACTATAACAAAGAGGATTTAATCACTAGGGTGCATAATTTCCCAGGTACTTTCCTTTCCATTTAAGGTTAAATATTTTCTTCATAGCACCCATTTCTTTATGAACTTTCTGCATGAAGTATACACAGAGTTCAGTTCCCTTTATGACACTCTGTTTCATAGATGAGTAGATATCATAATCAGAAATGTTTCACTTGCAAGAGGGACTGTATGAAGTAAAGGGAAGGAAACAGAGAGGTAGAAGCTCACAGGAACTTGCCGCCGCAGGTTTGTTGGGGTGCCGGATGGGGTGGAGCTGGTGCTGAGGGCATTCTCGATGTCCTGATCAAGTTGGTCCAGTTTCATGATCAGCAGCACCATGGAGTCCAGCCGCGCCCTATCTCGATCTTCTCTTATTTCCTGAGAAACAGAACATGTTGTTACTCGATTTGAAATGTCATTTCTTGGAAAGAATAAAAGGTTCCCTGTTCTTCAGTGTGACAAAAAGGACATTGGATAATAGGCTGTCTTCTACTAAAAGAAGAAGGGAAATTCTATTTTGTGTCATCAATGGGCTCTTCATTGGAGAGATTCTGATCTCCTGCCAAGAAAGCATTTTACATAAGTATTAAATGTATGAAAAAGTATAACGAAGAGTACGACACATATTTCCTACTTTCCAATTAATTATTCTTGGAGAAAAGTTTTATATTTGTATTTTCCCAGAGCACAAATTAATTATTTATAAGATACTAAGAGTCATTTGTGGTTTGACATTTAAGTATGTGTATAAGAGAATATTTTTGGAGGGATATTTCTCAGTATAGTAAAAGTTATTTGAAAAGAATGAAGCAAAGCAAGGTTTTGTTTGTGCAGTGGGAGATTTTTCTTGTATGGGGTCATTTGCTGACTGCTGTTTCAAGCTATATCATTGCCAATACTTCTTTCCAAGCTTCTTTTTCTTTCACATACTTTAAAAAATATCCTGCACAGATATATATATGTTTTTGGAAATGACCATGGTTGCTTATTATGAATACTGTGATATAGATATATATTTTTCAAAATACTATGGCTTGTAGGAGCAGCTAAACTTCTCGGTGACCATGTAGAGTTGCTTGGACATGATTCTTTACTACTCTTGTATACTCAAATCAAGTCAGTGTGTGTCAGGAACCTGACAAATGTCTCGTGCTGTGCTAATGGATTAGGGTAGGGTAGGACACTGAGTAGAAAAATGAGCACGAACAGTATAGGTAGGTTCTTTAGAAGCAAAATATACAGAGCGAGGGAATGGGCTCAGGCCTAGCCTTTTGAAGTAAAGCATCACTGCGACTAGCTTGCCTACCTCCCATCTCTCTGAGATACTTATTAGAAATTGTCTTTAAAGTACCACAGGGAGCCAGTCTCAGAGAGAAAACATGTCATGACAGAATCTTAAAGGCTTGTCAATACAAGAGTTGCAGGTCTGGGGCTTTCTTTCAGTACAACACTGCTCATAGAATGGGTGACGACTGCTTGAATCAGACCTTTAATTTTACTTTTGTAGTTAGTTTTAATCCTTTTAAGTTCCCCATCCTCCATTTGGAGACACTCCTGAGGGACTAGAGTAACTTAACACATTAATCTCATCCTAAAGGGCTCTCTGCACCTCCAACAGCTGAGGCAGATCATTAGTATTACAGAAGCATTAATTTTCAGATGTCAAATAATTGGTTTATTAGATTAAGTTGGTTAGAGAATCAATTACTTAAACTAATAGTAGATAAATTTTTTTTTTAAAATGAAGCTTATATTTTTAACAGATCAATAAAAATGGATGGACTAATTAAGTTAAGACAGATTAACTTTGAGAATAAATTAGGAATGATATTTGTGAACAAACAAATCTGAACCTTTTTATATATTATATCTTTTAATGCTCCAGAACTTGGTTATACTTGAAGGACTGTTACTTATAGTAAAATCCTAACTCCCTTATAAATAGTCCAAAAATGGGAAAATATGAGTGACTAATAATTAAGTCACCTTAATCATTCTTCCACTGTATTAGTTTATATAATTGTCTTCTCTTTTAAACTGAGCTGTGTTTTGCAAAATGACCTTTGTGTTTCTATAACCACATGTAGTTTTGTGTGACAGTCTTTGATTTCTCAATTATTGTGTCCTGAAAGACAAAGTTGAAGGTTTTCCACCTGCCAGATATAGAATCAAATTATCTACTGCCTCCTAATATATTTCCAGTAATAATCATAACATTGAAATCAATAGGAACCACAATATAACACCCCCTAAGCCTTTGAAAACGTAGCTTGATGTTTTTCCAGCTACTAAATTAATGTTGGGTAAAGCAATACATCCACAGCTATGCTGGACCTACCAGCAGTAGTCTCAGAACCAATTTGTCTTTGGATTAACTAGATGCTGAGATTGTGTTTCAAAACTACTTCTAAATTCCTGGTTGAATATCACATTATCTCAATCATCTGCCAAAAGGATAAAACTAAACACTTTTGTTCTCTGACATTCTGTTTAGAAGCATAAGCCTGTTTTTCCCCTTTTCTTCACAGATGCTTCCTTACTCACAGTCTGCTATATTCGGTTGGAATGGTGAAGCATTTTACATGTTACACATTCACAAAATCTCACTGAATACAGTGACTACAAACCTGATACTTTAAGATGTCATTGTCTTTAATTTTAAAGCCAAAGTATTAATTTTTCATAAAGTTTTGACCTTTTATCTATCCTTGGCTAAACTCCTGCAAACAGGCCATGCCTGAAAGCAAAGTGGCACATCTGTAATTTTGACTGAGTGCCTTCCGCGGTGGGTATTTTCACTCCATCACTATAGTCCATGAAGAGGAGCTTTTGAAGAAGTGAAATTTCCTATTCACTAAGTTGATATTTCAGTAGCTTTCTCCCAAGTCAAAACCAACCCTCTAAATTCTCTTTTTTTAATCATATTTCCTTCCTTCTTTCCTTCTGTTACAGCTGTTCTGGACCAAGCATTATTCAAAGGAGAGAATACCCATCAGTGAGCAAAAGAGATAGGACTGAAAGCCAGCAAATGCATAGATAAGATAGTGACAAGCATAAGAAGAAGAAAAATAGGTTATTGAGAACCTCAAGAATGCTGCCCCACTTCACATAGGATTATCTGAAGAGAGCGTTCTCTGGAAGTGAGAGTCATGATAGTGTAAGATGAGAGGGAGGCGATGATGGAGATAGAGATAGAAGTAGGAAGAAAAAGAGAGGAGAAGAGGGGGAAGCAAGAAGGGGTGACAAGGAGAACAGAGAGAACCAGGAAAATGATATTCCAGGTGGCATGAAGAGTGATACAGTGATACAGTAGGAGGAGCAGGAAACAAATACAGGGACACCGAAGGAGAGAGAGGGAGCAGGGTAGAATGCTGGGCAAAATGAGCTGGGTACAAACAGCTGGCAAACGACATTCTGTTTTGAAGGTCATTGTAAAGAGGTAAACTTTCTTTGTGCAATGGGGGTTCATTGGCAGGATGTAAACTAATGAGTGATTTACTAAGTTTTTTTTTAAACTTAAGTTTCTCAGTATCTAGTTGCAGTGAAAGATTTTTGGAACCTCAACTATATTTGATATCCAGGAACGCTACCGACTGTAACTAAGAATAGTTCTGGTCTTCTTATGCTGAAATATTAATGGGCAAACACTATAGTAATTATAGGTTTTGTTTTGTGTTTTGAGACAGGGTCTCCCTATGCAGTTCAGGCTGGACTTGAGCTCACTTTGTAGCCCAGGCTGGTCTTGAACTCGCAATGATTCTCCTACCTCAGCCTCCCAAGTGCTGGGGTTACAGGCATGCGCCACCACACCTAACCTAGTATAGTAATTATAGAGAGATAATAGCTAATTATACAACAAGGCCTTATATGTTTTGAGATCAAAGTGGAAGAAGAGAGAAAGAACGAGAAAGAGAGAGAGAAAGAGAGAGTGCACCATGTTTGGGAACATTTTCTAGGAGTAGAGGTAGGTGGGTGACAGTAGTTGTTGGTAAATATTTACTCTCAAATGAAAAAGAAAGTCCTGATTTGTAACATTTGCTGAATTTTGTGCTGTAAATACTTTCCTGGTTCCCTTTAAGCTACCACCTAGGTATTATTAAATTCAAAATTGGAAGGGATGTGCATAACAGGTCCTTGGAATTTGGCATGAGTGAGTGTATGATTTGTCCCAAACATGCTGGAGGTAGAGGCCAGTAGGATGGTGAGTCAGCTTTAGATTTTTGACTGAGAAATATGAATTGATAAGTCAACATATGGGATTATGGCTTAGTAAGAGTAAAAATATTGAAATAGCTCATTTTATTTAATTAATCAATTTATTTTCCTTAGCATTTGTTCTTTTGTGCAGGCAGAGAATAGTATAAAATATAGATTTAAATTGAGTGCTCTTGGGGCTGGGGATTTAGCTCAGCGGCAAAGCACCTGCCTGGCAAGCACAAGGTCATGAGTTCAATTCCTGGTACTGGAAGAAAATAAATGAATAAATAAATAAATTTAGTGTTCTTCTGGAGGATTGTTTTTTCTTAATGTGGCTCCTTCATCTGCTTTCCTTGACCTGTATACTAAAGTTTGCAAAGTTCCTTAAAATTCAAGTAACTAGCAAGCTTTTTACATTTGTATTTTTCCTTAATCAGAATATATTTCTTTAAGTTTAACAATCTTTCATGGATATCTCATTCAAAATTTAAGAATTTAGAGCTGCAGAAGCTCAGGATCCCGATGACTAATGCCAGTGCCCTGATTCTGCAGGAAATGAAACTGAACTCCAGGAAGTCTTTTGAGGGAAAATCTACTCTACATGCGTAAATCCCAGACGAGATCCTGGCTCTTTCACAAGCCTTGTTCTCCTTCCAGTGTTTCATTTTGATTTCCTTCCATAGATAACATTTTAAGTTAAATGCCACTATGTATTCTGTCCTCAACTCTTGCAATCTGTTTCCCATCCCTGCCAACCCAGATAAACTGTTTTTTAAGAACTTTAATGCCACAATAGTTAGTTGTAAAAATCCTTAGAAGTCACCTTACCCAATTCTTTAAACTTTTAACAATCATTCAGTCCATGGTGTGTTTTATATACTATTCTCTAGGAAGCAACTTGTTTTGTAGTAATGCAGATCTTTTTGATATTATAGAGTAAAATTCTGATTTCCTCTACTTTTCCAATTTCTTCCTGCAGAATGAGGCAGAACATGGAGGGTCTGTTCCCCAGAATAGCTGTCAAATATTTGAAGAATGACATTGTGTCAGTTTTCTTCCTTTTCTAGGTGAAACTCCTCAGTTCCATATTTATTTATTTCAGTGCTGAAGGTAAAGGACTGTGAACGTGTTGAGCGTGCTTTACCACTGAGTTACAACACTAACTCGCAGCCCCTTTGCTC